GCCAAAGAGAACAGAAAAATCGTGTACGAGGAGCTGTTAGGTAGAACCTGGAGGAGGTTTGAAGAAGATTTTAATAGTGTACTTATTTACTTAACTATGCCAAACAAAGAAACCAGCAAAGTGGCATGTATGAGGAGTCGTGTACGAAACCCCCTTGAAAAGAGAAGGAGAATTTTATTTTTTCTATTCACATACAAAGACAAACTGGAACCAAGATAGACATAAGACTGAAACAACATTAAAATATAAAGGAAAAAAAAGGGGGGCCCCCAGAAAACTTCTACTCTATTGAAGTGAATTCAAAAGAGGCTACAGCTTTACTTAGTCAATCATATTCCTCTAGCCATACTAAAAAGTTTTCAACCTGCACGTTTTTACCTTTCATTGACTTTCAGGCTTTCGACATAAAGAAACTCATTAGAAATCCATCCTTCTGACTGGGCTAAAGGGTCCTGGGGTGATTATGGGGGGGGGTTGTAATCCAGCAACTACACTACTCTAAGAAGCACCCTTATATTCTACACATTGGGGACCTTTAACACACTTTTTGCATTGGGCTTCCCTTTTCAGGACCCAGAAGCTAAGACCAGCTATTTAAACAGTCTGATGTCAACTTTCCCCTTAATCTACCACTCTTTGGTGTACAAAATGCAATACGTGCTGAATACGCTGGTCAAAATTTAGTGATATAATATACCTTTCCCTAACATTGATTGTGCGCAGAGCAGCTGCAGAGTGTTTCCAGCATCTTTCTGATCCTGTGATTGAATAGGTGCCGAGATTCTGGAACGATTCGCTCTTAGTTCGTTCCCAAAAAAGAACATCCAGCACTCGCTCAAATGTCTACACGCCTGTAGCTTTAACTCACATGTCAATGGTGACCTTTGGTTGAGACTGGTTTTGCAGCAGACCTCTGGTATGTGACTCGCCTGGACATTTATCTACCTGCTTCACAGAGCGGTTACACCCAACCGGAGAAGCCACAGAGCAGCCGCTGAGGCATCCATGTTTCTTGGACTGTGTCTCCAGTGCATGTTGGACACCGGTCCAGCCTCTCGCGGCTGGCGCAGAGAAGCGTCCTTGTGATGCAGTGGATCAGGGACCTTGTCGACCTTGTTTACGGATCTACCTCACTGAGATGACCACAGTATGTCAGACTGTACAGCTGGCTTGTCTGAACTTGGGTGACAAGCAGCACTGGCACACCCCCAGAGGAAGTTCACCGGTGGGTACACCTCAGATTTTCTGTTCCAAGCGTCCAGATGTGGGCCCGCCTCAGAAGTTCTACTAATGATCCTCCATGTCGGTGTATTCAAAATGATAGGAAGGAGGATGACAGAGACCTGATGTGAGAGTTCATTGGATGGTGCGACAGAAACCACTTACAGCTCAAACACAGGGAAAAAACCAAAAGAGCTGCGGGTGGTGGACTTCACCGCGCAATCTCCCTGAATCGCAACTGTGGAGGGCCCAGTTGCGATTTAGGGGAGAGAGGGTAGATATGGTGGACAGCCTACAAGTTCCTGGGGTGACACTCAACAACAATAACTTGGACTGGAGAGGATCACCAGCTGAGGCTCTCTACGAAAGACAGAGCAGGCTGTTCTTCTGGAGAAGGATCACGTCCACTTTCACAACGTGTGCACTCGCGTATATTGTTCACCCAGTTCTGTAGGTGGGCCAGTGTCCTCTTTTTTGCTTGTGGGGGTGCTGGGGAGGAGCATCAGGACTTGTGGTGTCTCTCTTACGGTGAGCTGGAGGCAGCTCATAGGAGCCACTTTTCAGCCACAGACTGGATCAGCCTCGAGTATCAAAAGCGCTTGTTACCGGCGCCATCAGACTCCAGCAACGCCAGCAGCACCGACAGTACCCTCACACCGCCGCTGACGCGTGACTAAGACCGGGTTTAACTCCAGCCTCACTTTTGCACAAAATATTTATCTTTAAGTGCACACATACAGTTTAGTTTTTTTAGTCAAAGCTAGTCAAAAATATTTTGCCCACCATTTTACGCTGCATATTGCATAAAGTGTATATATTTTTTTCACTTTATTAGTCCATCTATTTTCTATTATATTTTCTCACTTATGTTTGTGATTCTTATTGATACTTCTGTTCTCTTTGCACCTATATTCCCCTATGCTGGGTGTCGAATTTGAATTTCTCCTATGGGGGATTCAATAAAGGTACATCTTATCTTTCCTATATCCACTTTTTACAACTTGCACTTCAACTTGGCAACCAACTGCAATACCACTTTGCCTCTCCAAGGTGTAGGGATATGTTAGGAGAAACTTATGGGTGGCGGGAAAACTGCTCAAAACTCCAGCTCACTCTCTAAGATAACAAAAACACAGACGATTCTCATTTTCAAATGATTGATACACTAATGAGAAAAATCGTAATACATTGGACCCATAAATTACCCCTACGCATGTCTTCTTATAAATTACCTCCTGCTTCTCTCCTTATGGCACTGATCCACCTCCTGCTAACACTCATGTTGACTTCATGCATCCCCATGTACATAAGCACAGAAAGGGTCACTTTCAGACAACATGTGGACACAATATTCTGAGTTCGCAGGCCACACAATGTGTTTGCTGCTGTTTAGATTTTTCATATTTTTACTGATTGAACTGTTTCCTCATTGTTAGCTACGGTCTGTTATACTGTCTCTCTAGGTTTATCTTGAGTAAAACATTTCTAATCTAAACATTCACAGCAATCATTTCAAGAGGACAGTTTGGTGCTCCTCTCTATTAGAGAGATGTCCTTTAAACAGTAGTGTACACACATCGATAAATAATTTACCCAAGTTAGAAAATGATTTCGAATAATGTCCCTTGGCTGTCTTTGGAAAGTCCAAGCCTAAAAAATCACCAAAGTGGTTTGGTTTGTTGCTTGGTTCCGGCTTGTGGTTCGTGCTCCTGTGTTGTTCTTCGTGTGGTGGCTCGGGCGTTGTCGGGCTCCCCGTCCTCGCTGTGGGGTGGGGTGGGGGGGGTTTGCTGGGTTTGCCCTCCCGCTCCGTGCGGCGCGCTGTGGAAGATGGGTGGTAGCGACCTGTGAGCTGCATGCCATACTCATATTTTCCCTTTGCTTTTTATTTTTTTCATTCATGTTGAACTTTTGGGACAATTTCCTTTTTTCATACCTGAGATGCTCAGCGGCTTTTGTTTATATTTCATTTTGGTTTATACAATCAAACAAAGGTATTAAAAAAGAGCTGTGTGATTGTGAATCGCAAACTTAAGTTTATGGTAAAGGTACTGAAGTGATAATAATGCAGTATTCACTTTAGATGGTTACTACTTTTGAGACACTGTGTTGTGCAAGATCGTAGATGTTGCTGGGTAATATAACTCCTTTAAAATTGTCAATTGTTGCGTGTGTGTGTATTTTGGTGAGATATTGCCGGTCTAATTCAAAATTAGGCAGGGTAAAGAGCTCAGCAGTCTCCTCATTAAATCTAGAGTAAAAGAACCCTCCATTTTCCTATTTGATATT